GAAAACAGTGCAACAATGAATGAATGAAAACCCCAAATCTCTGTAAATGGTCATTAAAACTAATAAAATTTGATAATAATAAAAAATATATATATAGTAAAAAAAAGATTACAACCAAGAAACCCTAGAAGACAGCTCTGTCCTTCACCACACAGGGCCCCCAAGAGTTGGAATGGACTCAACAGCAATGAGTTCACTTTTGTTTTGTTCTCTTGCTCCCTTAACCCCCACCCAGAACGTTCTAGAAAGAGAACAGAGACTGCAGAGGATGAGGAATGAATGGTATGGATGTCTGTAAAGCCATCTCATTTTAAGAAATAAGCAGTAAAGAGGTTGGCCATGGTGGCCCCTCTTACTGTCGTGTTGCCCTGACCCGTGTCTAAGCAAGGATGACCCTGGAAGTGACCTGGGTTCAACTCTCAAGAGGTCTGGACACCTGGCAGAATTGCCCAGGGGCATCAAACACCATTTCTCGTCTCTTGCAGTAGGTAATGCTCCCCAAATGGGGTGGTCTTATTTTGCTCAGCGACAAATAGGTTAATTGAGGCAGCAGAGAGGCAGGCTGGAGGGGAGGGAGGAGGAGTCCTGGGAGGGAAGGTGAGGATGAAGCCTGGCCAGCAAGACCCCAGCCCTTCTCCTGGAGCCCCTCATCCTGGAGCCTCAGTCACCCTACTCCTGCTCACTTGCCCACAGGGACCAGCTGAGAAGGAAGATGGAACACTGGACTCACGTGATGAGAACTCAGCCTGGGACCCGAGGGCTGTGGCAACGAGGAGGAAGGAGACGACCGTGAGCATCTTCATTCTCCACAAGCAGCTGTGGTGGGAACTGAGCTGGCCTGGGCTTCTGAGGCTCTGGATGAGGAAGTGGTGTTGAGAAATGATGCTTGTGGCAAAGTATCTTTTAAAAATAAGGGAACTGAATGTTCAAAGGGAAGTGGGCGCAGCAGTGCCTCAGCGATTTCTTATCTTCCATGTTTGTTAAGGGTGGAGTGAAGGAAGCACAGAAAGCCAAGATTTCAGGGAGGAAACTGCCTTCGAGCCCCAGCAGAGATGGATTTAACCCCTTTGATATTAGCCTTCGTCTCCAAATTATTGAGTAGTGATGTCAGTTTGAGGACTAAGGTGTGTCTGATTCAGGCCATAGTCTTTCTGATTACTTGCTATGCATCTGAGAGTTGAGCAATGAATAAGGATGACGGGAAAATAATCTATGCCTTTGAGCTGTGGGGTTGGAGAAAAGCACTGAGTATCCCATGGACGGCCAAGAGAACGAACAGATATTATCTTGGTGAGGGTGCAGCTGGAGTGTTCTTTGGAGGCAAGAATGACGAGGCTTCACTTCAAATACTTTGTGGGCATATTACCAGGAGGGGCTGTTCCTTGGAGAAGGACATGATTCTTGGAAGGGTGGAGGGTCGGTGAAGGAGAGGAAGCTCCTCAACTAGGTGGATTGACACCGTGACGGCTGCAATCGGCTCTAAAGTGTCAGGAAGTGTGAGGATGGCACAGGACAGAACAGGGTTCAGATCTTTTGTTCATAGGGTTGCAATGAGTCATACTTGACAACACCCAACAACAACAACAAAAACAGGTATAGACTAGGGAATTTCACTGCCAATCAAGAGGCCAAAACTCTCTGGTGGTTTGAAAGCACTAGGTTCTCTGTGGGAGAAAGATGGACAGTTCCTTCCTGTTATTGATTTACAGCCTTGGAAACTTGGTGGAGAGATGAGTCAGATCCAACCCGGCAGCTCTGAGTTTGGCTTTTTTGCAGAGTGGAGGCCGAGCACTGTGGTTGGGGCGCTGTCTCAGCCGGAGCAGTTCTAGAGCTCAAGGCAAGGCTGTGGTGTGTGTCCACTTCTAGGCCTCAGAACAAAGCTGTAGAGGGGCTGGAGTTCTGAGGGGATGTGGGTAGTGGGAAGAGGTTTGAGGCCTCTAGGTCAGGTCTTATCAATCTGGTCTAAGAAACCCTCACTTATTTGTAAGCAGAAGGTACACCTCACTTACTCCCACATCCCTCTCGCTGTGTCCTGGGATGAAGAAGAGCTAAAACAACAACAAAACACAACAGTATGATGTTCAATATATTTAACTGCACTTAAATACACACTTGGTAGCTTAGTGGTAAGAAGTTGTGCTGTCATCCAAAGGCACACAGTTCAAATCCACCAGCTGCTACATGGAAGGAAGACGGACAGTCCTCCTGCACGATTTACAGGCTCTGAAAACCTGCTGGAGGGTCAGCTATGAGTTGGCTCTGACTCCATGACACATATCAACAATATATACATTAGACAAGTCCTTTGGTAGCACAGGTGAGAGCTCAGCTACTAACCAACAGTTCGGTGGTTTGAATCCCACCACAGGTACCTTGCAGAAAGACCTGGTGATCCACTTCAGAAAGATCACAGCCGTTTCAAAACCCTACGGAACACAGTTTACTCTGACGCATGCAAGGTAGCCATGAATTAGCTTGGAAGCAACTATTTATTTATTTATCTTTAGTATACACATACCTGCCATTGGCCCAAATGTTTTATGAACATAAATATATTTAATCTTTACAATAGCAGTTGAAGAAACTGAGGCCCAGAGTTGAAGAAACCAAGAGCAGTTGAAGAAACATAGACTACTTACTTCCCCAAGCTTTGACAACTGGTAGTGGAACTGGGGTTTGAACTCAGGCAGTCTGGATTCCAAGGACATCTGAGCTCTTAACCACTGTGCTAGAATGCATTCTGGGGAGCCCCAAGTGGGTGACCTCTCAATGTGTTAGCTGTGGCATGTTTTCTCCACAATGACTGCAGGCTGACACTTTCTGACTTCAGATGGTGGATCTCTTTGGAGCTTTGACCTGGCTTCTGAGCTGTTAGGAAACTTAGCAGATCTCCTTTCAGGGATGGCTGTGAGATTATCACTGGTTGGTAGTGGCCTGGAGCTCCGTGTTGGTGACTATTTGGAGGCACAAGTGCTGTGTCTGATGTGTGGTTTTTATGAGGTGCATCTTGATGCTGTGGATATGCTTAGATGAGGCTGAACTTGCCTCTTACTGAGGAAGCTGGGACTTCATGAGAGCCAGTGACTTGATTATGCTCACGCAATGTATAAGGTGCTAGATTCTTTGTCCAGTGGCCTCTCCCTTGGACGATATTGTTTTTGAGAAGCACTACCCCCATTCTGCTTATTTATATCTTCTTTCTCCTACTTGGAATCATCAAGGCAGGGAACATTTGTTCCCTTTCCTAGAGCCCAACACAGCATCTAGAACATGTTGTTGTTTTGTGCCATCAAGTTGCCTGCAATTCATAGCCACCCTGTGTATAATAGCTCTGAACTCTGTCCTAACCCTGAACCAATTTCACTGTCTTCAACATACCTGCCCCTATTACTCTAGTCATTGTGTTAGTCCATCTCATCCAGGGTCTTCCTCACCTGTGTTATCCCTCCACCCTTCCAAGCATGATGCCCTTCTCCAAGGACTGGTCCCTCCTGGTAACATGTCCAAAGTATGTGAGACAGAGCTTCAAAATCCTTGCCTCAAGAGAGCAAGATGGTTTGACCCTCTCTGGAACAGACCTTTTTGTTTTCTTGGCGGTCTATGGTATGTTCAGTACTCTTCTCCAGCACCACAACTCATAGACATCAGTTCTTCTTCTGTCATACCTATTCATTGCCTAGCTCTCTGATGCATAGCAAGTAATTGCAAAGACCATGGCCTAGATCAGGAGCACCTTAGTCTCTAGACTGACATCTTTGCACTTCAGCACTCTGGAGAGGTCCCTGACAGCAGACTTTCCTAATTCAATTAGTCTTTTGATATTCCAGCTGCTGGTTCTAAGAGTGTTGATTGTAGACCTGAGCAAGTTGAAATTGTTGACAATCTCAATCCCTTCTCCATCTATCATGATGCTGCCAACTGGCCGAGTGGTGAGAATCTGTTTTCTTGATGTTGAGTGTCAATCCATATTGAAGACTGCAGTCCTTGACCTTTTGCTTCAGGTCCTGCTTAGTTCAGTGAGCAAGGTTGTGTCATATACATAATGCAGGATGTTGATAAATTTTCCTTCAATTCTGATGCCACATTCCTCCTCATAAAGACCAGCCTACTGAAAAATCTGTTCCACATATAGATTGAAAAAGTATGTAGACAGGATGCATTCCTGAAACACTCTTTTCCTGATGTTGAACCATGCAGTGTTTCCTTGCTCTGTTCTGATGACTGCCTCCTGGTTTAGTACAGGTTTTGCATGAGCACAATCAGGTATTCTGGAATTCCCATTCTTCTCAAGGTTAGCCACAAGTCCAATCAATGGAACACACATTCTTCTGGTACTCTCTGCTTTCTGCCAAGATCCATCTGACATTGGTAATGCCATGACCTCCTCTAAACCCAACTTGTACTTCTGGTAGTTCTTTGTCAATATACTTTCAAGTCATTTTTAAAAATAATTTTCAGGATGATTTTGCTTACATGTGATATTAGTGGTATTGTTCAGTAATTTCCACACTCTTTTTTAGAATAAAAATAAATGCCAGGTGGCTGTCCTCCAGATTTCTTGGCATAACTTGGTGAGCACATCCAGAGCAGCATCTGTTTGCTGAAATATGTGAATTGGTATCACTTCCTGGGGGCTTGTTTTTTGCCAATTCCTTCAGAGCATCTTGAACTTCCTCCTTCATCACTATTGCCTCTCAATAATATGCTGTTTCATGAAATTAATCTGTGTCACCCAATTTTTTTTTGGTACGGTGACTGTGTGTACTCCTTCCATTTTCTTTTTTTTTAACTTTAAAAAAATTTATTATTAATTTCAGTAAAAATTTACAGAGACTTTGGATTTCCATTCATTCATTGTTGCACTTTTCTCCCCTCCCAACCCTCCTCCCCAGTACACTACCCTCTTGGAAAAGTAAATTTTACAAACCCTCTCCCAGGTCCACTCCATCATGTAGCCTTCGCTCTAGACTCCTGTCATGACAAAAATTCCTAATCACATATCCCTTTTAAACAGTTTTCTCCCTCATCTGTTTCAATGCAGTATACATTATTGAACCCATCTTTCTCAGTCTCTCCCCAACCCCAAGGTCAGTCCTGTTTTACAACAGTGGCACCATGCAGTATTTGTCCTTTTGTGATTGAGATACTTCACTGAGCATAATGTCCTCCAGGGTCACCCATTTTGAATAATATTGCATGAGTTCCTTGTTTTTCAATGCAGCATAGTATTCCATTGTATGAATATACCACAGCTTCTCTATCCATTCGTTTGTTGATGGGCACTTAGGTTGTTTCCAACTCCTTGCTATTGTGAACTCTGCAATAAACATGGGTGTGCATATATCTGCTTGGATGTCAGTTATGGTCTCTTTGGGGTATATTCCCAGTAGTGCAATTGCTGGGTCAAATGGTATCTCTATTTGCAACTTTTTGAGAAAGCGCCATACCGCCTTCCACAGTGGTTGCACCATTCCATTTTCTTTTGATGCACCCTGGATCATTCAACATTCTGTCCATAGCATCTTTAAGTATTGCAACTCAAGGCTTGAATTTGTTCTTTAGTTTCTTCAGCTAAAGAAATGTTCATCCCTTTTGATTCTCTAACTCCAGCTCTTTGCATACTTCTTTATAATACTTTGCTTTGCCTTGCTGAGCTGCCTTTTGAAATCTTCTGTTTAGCTCTTTAAGGATGGCTCTGCTAAATATTTGACCAATAAGGATAAGGCTACTTGACTCTTCTTGATTTCTTCCCTTTGCTTTGCCTTCTCGGCACTCCAGTGTAACACTCAGTCTTTTCTGACTT